GAATTTTATATATATTCAAATGATTTCTGAAGGATCATGTGACACTGAAAACTGGAGTAATTATGCTGAAAATTCAGCCTGGATCACAGCAAATCAATCAGTTCAATCCATTTAAAATGTATTCAAATAAATGCAAGTTTGGTGAGTAAAAAGTCTTAAAAATAAAAAGAAATATAAAAATCTATGAATTTTCAGCTAATTACTCCAGTCTTCAGTGTCACGTGATCCTTCAGAAATCATTTGAATATATATAAAATTCAGCCTGGATCACAGCAAATCAATCAGTTCAATCCATTTAAAATTTATTCAAATAAATGCAAGTTTGGTGAGTAAAAAAAAAAGTCTTAAAAATAAAAAAAATTATAAAAATCTTACGGTTCAAAAACTTTTGACTGGTAGTGTATATTTTGTCCCAGTAGAACTGTCAGTCTTAATGTGAAAACAAAATTACTGAATTATCTCAAATGAAATGCAGTGGTCAGTATTACTGAGGGTATTTTTCTATTAAAGCATCAAATAATGACTGAGGTGAAAAGACGCCGAAGAAAACAAAAGCCACTGGAGGAGGCTATACAGTTTGTATTTCTAAAGAAGGACAAACATGGGCTTGAGGGCAAATTCATTAGTGATTTTAAAGGTGAGTTAAATGTTCTGATTGATTATAGTTATAGGGTTAGTTCACTTAAAAATGGGTGTCCTCAAATAATATGACGCTACACAAAATGCAATTCACCAAGACAGATTCCCATTCTCTACTGACTTCCATGGTATTTATTTCCATACTGTGGATGTCAGTGGGGACCAGCATTTGATGGCGAGTTAATCATAACAGAATTGTCATGTTTGGGTGAACTATTCCTTTAAAGTGACTTGTTTAATAAAGCTGTCTCTGGTTCATTATGTGTTATTCTCAGTGATGATGTTACATTTCTATTGTTGTTTAGGCAGGGGTGTGTTCAGCAGCACTCATTTTGATAAGGGTGATTTCCTGCTTGAATATAGAGGTGACTTAATAAGCAAGGAGGAGTGTGAGCGGAGGCAGAGGTTATATCATGACGCCCTTAAAGTATTTCTATTTGAATTTCGATACAATGGAAAACTTCTCTGGTATGTACAAGTGTTTGATGTACATGTTTATTTTGAATTAAATCACATGATTGAAAATGTGGCAGTTAACATTTCAATAGTTATTTACTGTATAAGTTAGCTCATATTTTGCTGTAATTATCAGTTATGTATTCTCAAAGATTGATGGTTATTAAATGGTAGATCTCAAAGAATGTTGTTTTCAGATTATAGGTTTTCAGTACTGGTTATATCTGTCATTTGTTTAGTGTTGATGCAGCCCGAGATGACTGTTCCCTTGGGCGACTCGTGAATGATGAGCACATCAATCCAAACAGTAGGATGAAGACCATCCGTGTGGATGGTAGACCTCACCTGTGTTTGTTTGCTTTGAGGAACATATTTCCTAGTGAAGAAATCACTTACGATTACGGCGATTCAGAGTGGCCATGGCGATGCACGGTATGAAAACCTTTACAATAACTAATTATTAAATAATAATTTATTGGATTATATTAAAGGTTGAAAGTATTAATTGTCACCCATTGTAAAATTAATGACTTTTTACGTATAACATTACGTGTGTGTTCATTACAGTATGTCAGTTTGTGTGAAGCTTTACACCTGTGTTATGAGGACACCTGTTTTATGAGGACCATCATCACATATTCTTGATGTTGGACTTGACTGAAGAATCTCAGTGTGTTGTGTTAGTTTGACAAAAGCCTGGTTTATGAGGACACTGGTTATTACCAGGACAATGGGCTGCATCTATATGAAATATTGGGATTATTTACATCTCACTGTGGTCAATATGATATTGAAAACTCAGTAGTTCTCTAAATTGGGAAAAAGTAGATCCCCCTTGATTCCAATTGGCTTTCATGAAGTAATATTAAAACTATATATAAAGAGTAACTTTATAATATTTCTATGCCACATTATTTTTTTTTTTGCTTTCTCCAAGATTGCGTATTATCTATTCACTAGATTAGGGGTGGGGAACGTTGGTCCTGGAGGGCCAGTGTCCCTGCAGAGTTCAGCTTTTTTTTTTGGACACCGGCCCTCCAGGATCAAGGTTCCCCACACTTGCACTAGATGATAGATGATAATCTGTGTCTGACCAACCTAAAGAAACTTTAAAGGTATGTGAGAAGATAGATATCTGAGAAGACTGAGGTATTGAGTTACCTATGTCCCGGTAATAACTAGTGTCCTCATAAACCAGGCTTTTGTCAAACTAACACAACACATTGAAATTTTTCAGTCAAGTCAAACATCAAGAATATGTTATGATGGTCCTCATAAAACAGGTGTCCTCATAACACAGGTGTAAAGCTTCACACAAACTGATGTACTGTAATGAACACAAATGTAATGCATAAAAAGACATTAACATTACATTTAAATTGAAATATTGAATATTGAAATATTGATTTGAAAAATAAATATTGTGCTTTTATTTCTATATTATCATGTTAAAATAAAAGCAAGGTTATGAACTAATTTTAAATCATTATTTCATTACATTAACAACTGTCTGTCTATACATTTATTCCTTGGATATATTTCTCACATTCTGTTGGATTGATATTGTTTTATAGCTCTTAGAGAAAGTGTTTCTGTATGTAAAGTGTTTTTCTAATTTTCAGATAACTCCTAAGACCCAGCTGTCATCAGACACCAATGATTGTGGTGCGGCT